CAACAAGCTTCAGGTAAGCCAGTGTGCCTAAAATTCTTTTCATTATTGTCAAATTTGTTAATGGAAACTATAATTATCATTATGCTTATTATAAAATACTACTTCAAAGTTAGAATTTGAGTGACTAGCAGGTGGCATGGTGGCTAAAGTGCTGGATACCCATGGGTGAACACAGTTCAAGTCTCAGACCTGGTGACTTGCTTTCTCACTTTCTCTCTGGCAAGCACATGTGTCCTATAACAAACTTAAAATAATAATAATAATAATAAATTAAATAAATAAAACTTACTTTTGAATGAATGAGTAAATAAGTAAAAATTAATTTTAGGGACAGCCAGTAGTATGAAGGTTAAGTATCCCATATGGCTACATGGTTCTGTCCAAGACCCAGCAGCTTAAAAATACACCGACTACGTGTATATTCATACCCGGAAAATCCTGAGAGGAGAATGTAGAAGAGATTGCAGAAGGGCCATCCCTCTTGCACAAGGGTCATTCTCACTTTCCTTCCCTTCGTTTGTCTCTAGCTAGTACATGCAACCTCTAGCAAAACTTAAAAAAAAAAAAAAAAAAGAATTTTACATAGCTAACTTAAATCAAGTGTTAATGTTAAGCATATGGCCAACCACCAAGATAGAAGACAGGGAAATTTCAACTTTTACAAATGAAACAACTCTAATACAGGATTTATAAACAAGGGCATACAAGTGAATTTTCAAGGTAATTGGGTCACAGGAAGTTCTGATTATTAAGCTAAAGACTTTGAATTTTACTCCATAAAAAGAGTATAGCTATTTCAGATTACATTTATTTGATGTAGTTAAAACTTTTTAAAAAAAAATTTTTAAAGAATTATTTAATTTTATTATTTAATTTAAATTTTATTTTTTTAATTTGACCAGAGAAAGACAGGGAGGGAAGTGAGAAAGGAAGCCGCCGGCTCTGGAACTTGAACTGGTACCAGACATGAGGAAGTCCAATGCCTTAACCATCATGCCACCTGCTGTCTTCTGTAGTTATAACTTCTATTGTGTTTTTATCTTTTCTAGTTGCAAAGAAGGAAATATTACAGATTATGAACAAAACTATTGCAAAGCCTCGAGCATCTAGAAAGGAAAATGGACCAGTTGTCAGTAATAAATATATTACAGTGACATTACAGTGACTGATTTTGTGATAAAGTAAACATTAATATATAGAAGTACTATTTCAAACTTTTTAAAATCTCAGAAAGAGAACAATAATGTTATAAATACTGTTATCCTTAAAATACTTTAAATTTGGTAAGATATTCTTGGATATTTTTCAGTAATTTTGATAAAATAACAAACTTTTCCTGTTTCACATTGAAGTATTTTTATGTATGTCAACGTGAAAAAAAAAAAAAGGTGTGTGTGTGTGTGTGTGTGTGTGTGTGTGTGTGTGTGTATCCTGAGTGACCAGGGCATGTTTTAAGTTCATATGTCTGTTTGAATTATATAATATATTTATCTGTATTACATTCCAGAAACTGTTCAGGTTCCGTTATCAAAACGAGCAAAATTTATTGGACCAGGTGGATATAATTTAAAAAAACTTCAGGCTGAAACAGGTAAGATTAGTCTAAACATTGTGTTTTTTTTTTAAAATTAAATATTAGACCATGCAATGGTCCAGCTATTTCATTCAGCACTACTATATTGCTCCAAAATATATATGTGAGGAAAGAGGGAAAAACCAGGAGAAAAAAATATGACATGTTTTCATTGTGAGTTTCCTGTGTATCTCTTAATAAAAATCAGCAAATGAAGGGCAGGCAGGTGGCGTTGGTGGTTAAAGCTCTGAACTCCCATATGGCTGATCACAGTTCGAGTCTCAGACCTGGTGGCTTGCTTTCTCACTTTTTCTCTCTTTCTGTCTCTGGTCAAGTTAAAAACATTATTTATATATATATATAATATAATTATATATATATATATAAAGGTTTAAGGTATAAGTGTGTGTTTATGTGTATATGTATGTATGTAGTATGTGTGTATATATGCACACACAGGGACTTCAGAAAGTTCAAAGAATTGTATATTACTAGGAAAAACTGTGTTACTAAAAAAAAAAACTTTGAAGGCTTCAAAATTCTTTTTGTACCAAAATCAATGTGTACACTACATGCCCTAGCAAAAAAACTCTCAAAAAAAAAAAATCAGCAAATGATTATCTTTAACTGTATTCAAGAAAGATGACCAAGAATTCATCAAGTTTGTTTTGGGACATTTTCAAATTGGATATCTAGAATAATTTTTAATTTGTTACTTTAGAAGTGTTATGTTTTAATTTTCTTAATATTCTGTTGCTTTCACTTAGGTTTTTATAGATTTTTTTATTTAGTGAACATATGTAGAAATAGTATTCTTTAGGGTTTTTTTTTTTTTTTCTTCATCTGGAAGCAGTGTTTGGGTTACCTGGGAGCTTTAAGGTTATTTAGAGGTTGAGAAGCGGTCATCTTAGCAAGTGACTAAGATTAAGAAACTAGCATTTTGTCCCTCATCCATCTATTCCCTTTAAAGGTTAAGGAGAAAGAAAAAAGAGGTGAAGGAAGTGTTCTAGTATACTTTCTACACATAATTAAAGAAATAAAACTTGGGCTAACTTTGTAACCTAATAGTTAGGGGAGCTGGATCTCATGGCCAACAGTGGTCTGAGTCCCAGATGGGCAGCCTGAAAAGCACACTGGGTGCAGGTACTTACTTACATGCCCAAAATTCAACAGGATAGAGAAATGGAGTAGAGGGATTGTGGTGTGACCACACTGCATTGAAGGGTGCTTTCTTCCCCACCCTCCATCATTTTGTCTCTCTGGTGAGTGCACATACTCTGTGGCAATTAAAAAGAAAACAAAACAAGACCCTCTAAAATTAACCCAGATATGTTTTATTTTGCCAGGAGGTGTGCTCCAAGAAAGCAGACATTAGTTGACTATTGTATTCCCCACAGCCTAGTACAATGCCAAATACATAACAGGTGTGTGTGTTTGTTTGTGAAGGAATTCCTTCATTTTTTTTTTTCTTTTAATTTGCTATAGAACTAGTGTGCTCATCTGGAGGGAGGCAGGGGTTGGGTAAGAAAGCATCCCATATGCAGGAATGGCCACACCACAGTTCCTTCCCCTCCATTCTCCTTGTGGGATTTTGCACACCCATGTACACACACCTGGTGTGCTTTCCAAGCTGCTGGGTCCAGTACTTGAACTGTGCAGTAGGCCATGTGGAATCTGGCTGCCTTAACCACCAAGCTACTAGCTGACCCAGCAGGTCAACTTTAACATGTTAAATTATCTTTTTAAAAGGTGTAACTGTCAGTCAGGTGGATGAAGAAACATTTTCTGTATTTGCACCAACACCCAGTGCTATGCATGAGGCCAGAGACTTTATTAACGAAATCTGCAAAGATGATGTAAGTATAGATCTTATATAATAGTTGCTGTTTCTACTTTTTTGCTATATTCTTTATTAATCCTTTTTTTAAAATATGTTTGCTGTTGGGCACACGTGTTTGCTGGAGAAAGGAGAAAGTATATGGGGGCAGAATGAGAAAGCACCCCCTGGCAGAATGGCCACACTGCAATGCCTTCTTTTCCATTCTGCCTTTAGGATTTGGGGGCGCACATGCCTAGCATGTTTTTCAAGCAACCAGGTCCAAGACTTAAACCGCAGTCAGCTTAGTGGGATCCAGGTGCCTTACCACCATACCAGTGGTGGCCCTTCTTTTATGAATCTTATGACTTATTTTTTCCTTATAGCAGGAGCAGCAATTAGAATTTGGAGCAGTATATACCGCCACGATAACTGAAATCAGGTAATATTAAGTAGTATACTATGTTGTAATACACTATATTAAAAGCCTTGATTAACCTCACATTTGCTTTAAGTACTTTGAAATTTTAAGGTCTTTAGATTACGTATCAGTTACTGTGTAATCATTCATTATTTTTTTAAGGTGTGATATATTTTATTTTCCACACCAGTTTGTAGATTTTTAGTAACATGGTATTACAGTTATAATAGATTCTTCTAAGTAAATTGTTTTCTTTAACAATCTCTCCTACTGTTTCATTCTTCCCAGTAAGTAATAAAGAGACCCAAAATAGACTTAATGCTTCCTTCACTTAGTTATTGCTGGCTTTTTTTAAAGATAGTACTACTTCACACTTAATTAGCATGTTTTTCTTTTTAATTTCATTTTCTTTTATACATTTTGTCACATTATTTGGCTTACAAAATTGGTATTTCAACATGTGAACATTTCTCCCTAGTGTAGTTGATAGAACTACAAAATGTCTTCAACAGATAATACCATATTTCTTTGTGCCATTAATGATTTGCCTCCCTATTTTTCTTCTAAATGTCCTTCCTCAGTCCCTCTTCTTTCACACCCACTATATCTGATATTTACAACAATATACTGTGTTTCTATATCCATTAGTCAATTTGTTTTAGTCACAGGGTGCAGACCCTTGATATATATTAAGTGGAGACATACAGTGCCTCTCCTTCATAGCCTGGCTTGCTTCACTCAGCAGTAAATTTTCCATATTCATCTACTTTCTGTCAGAAGCCAGGGTTCTGTTGTTTTTTATGGCTGAATAGTATTCAACTGAGGATATGTGCCACAGTTCCATTCATCTGTTCGTAGGCATTTGGGTTATTTCCATGACTTAGCAATTGTGAATAGTGCCGCAGTAGACATTGATGTGCAAGCACTTTTCCAATGAAGTATTCTTCTGTCCTTTGGGTAGATACCAAGGAGTGGGATTGCTGGATCATATGGTAGTTCTATTTGTAGATTTTTGAGGAATCTCCAAATTGTTCTCCATAGTGGCTGGACTAATTTACATCCCCACCAGCAGTGTAAGAGAGTAGCAAGTATTTTTAAAAGCCAGTTTCAACCTCTAAGCATTTTTAATACCTACAAAAATTGGATTTTCAAAATCAGAAAATCTCCATTTTTAAGAAAAAAGAAATTATCAGCCATAGCAGTTCAATGCTATCTAAAATGAATACAATATTAAAATACAACAGAAAAAATTATTTAATATTTCAGGTGAAAAATAAGGGGTGGGATAGCTTATTTTAGTAAATTAGAGAAAAAAGGAAAAGAAGTATTTTAATGAAATAGGGATCCTCTTTTACCTAAACCTTTCCTTAAATCACTAATAGCTTAATGATATTCTACACTGTTTTAAAATACTTAATTTCATTTCAAATTTTTTTTAAAGTTTAAAGGAAAAACACAGAAGAATATATTGGGTCATCAGAAAAGTCATAACATATTTTTTTCATGTTTTTCTATGCAAAAATGTGTCATGACTTTTCTGACAACCCAATATATCCTAAAAACTTTTCACTGTGTTTTTCCTTTACCTTTGTTCCTTGATTCATAAGTATTTAAATATAGGGTATATTTTCAAGTGAAAAATAAATGTCTTTTTGGTACTCACTCTTTTTATAGTTATAGGAGCGTAAGTTAGAATGGAAGTTTTTTGGTCTTTTTATCTTTTTTCCCCTATAAAACATAATCAGTTTTATTTATAAATATATAGATAGTTATTGTTTTAATGGGGCTCTTATTTCCTTCTTCTAGAGATTCTGGGGTGATGGTAAAACTGTATCCAAATATGACTGCAGTCCTACTTCATAACACACAGCTTGATCAACGAAAGGTAAAAGGAAAAACAGATTTGATGATTTTTATAACTGTCTTAAAATACCATTTGTAGTTGCCAAGGTTGGTGAAAATTATATACTTCATCTACTCCTAGCTTAAATTCAGAAAACGAAAATGACAGAGATGCTGTTGACAAAAGATTTTACATGGTTTATCAGAGATACTTATGTTCTCTTTCCATGATGGAATAGAAAGTGAACATTCTAGGGACCAGCAGGTGGCATGGTGGTTAAGGCGCTGGACACTCCCATGTGGCTGACCATGGTTCAAGTCCCGAACCTGGTGGCTTGCTTTCTCAATTCCTCTCTCTCTCTCTCTCTATGTGTGTGTCTTTCTCTGGTCAAATTAAAATAAATGAATGAATAAGATTAAATAAATAATTTTTTTAAAAAAAGTGAGCATTCTGAGGCAGAATGACATTTAGAGCTAGCTCGTAGCAGTTACTAAAAATATCTACATATAGCCTTGCTTTCCAGTTTTCGACTGACCAATCAGTCATGATAAGATCTGGAAGACTAAGAATATAAGACTCTTCACAAAAACTGAGGGCAGAGGATTAAATGAAGTGTCCATTTTAGCATATATTAAAGTATATTATAAAGCTATAGAGAATAAAACTGTTACTTGTCCAGAAATAGATCATCCATGTAACAAAAAAAAAAAGAGAGAGAGACCAGAAATAAATACAGTTATGTACATAAGACTATAATACATGCTGTAAGTTACATTTTCAGTCAGTGAAAAAATAAGTATTATTCAAAAAATATATTTGCATAGCTGTTATTATAAAGCAGAACCTCTACTCATTTTTATACCACATTCTATCTGGATTAAAGACTCTATGTTTAAAAAAATGTGGTCAGGAAATGAAAAATCTTTAGAAGAAGGTGCACTAAAAGAATATGGATATTCTAAAAATCTTGTTACTGGGAAAAGCTCAGCAATATATCGAAGCCAAAAATGTAAATAAATTGATGAAATTTTACTGTACAAAGGACTTGCAGATGAGTAAGAAAGGTGAATATCATTAGAAAAATGAGTAAAGAATATGGACAGTTTTCTTAAGTCAACAAGTTAATTCATGATCAAGAGTAATTTTTTAAAATGTGAGTAAAATCAGCATATCATTTTTAACTTTCAGATAGTTGGAAATTCCCAATGCGAGTAAGAGAATAGATGAATAATCTGATACATTACTGATAGGATTGTGAATTAGGACAAACTTTTTGGAGAGTGCTTGGTAAACATCTGTGGAGCTAGAAATTCTATTGTAACATATATTGTTCTCAGAGAACATTTAGAGTACATGAATACATGATCCAACTTACTTATTTTTGTTTAACATTTTACTTTAAAAAGTCTTAAAGCTATAGTAGAGTTGAAAAAACAATATGATAAATACTTACCTTTTGTCTAGACTCACCTATCATTAACATTTGCAGCACTGGAATTTAAAACAAATTACCACTTTTTTAAAGGTTTTTGCCATGGGGCTTGTGGATCCTCTCAAAAAAGATAGACACAGAGAAAAGGAAAATAAGAAATCACCTCGGCAGGGGGATGACCATGCCACAGACCCTTCTCTTGGGATTTCGGGCATGCACACATGTGCCTGGCATGATTTTCAAGCCTCCACGTCCAGAACTCTAATGGTGGTTGGCCATGTGGGAGTCCAGCACCTCAACCACCACACCACCTGCTGGCCCCTAATTAACAAAATTTAATAGACTTTATAATTATAAAAACCAATAAAGCTGTTTTCTACTTGGGGGGAAAAAATCTACTTCTATGGATACTAGATAACCGTGCACAAGAACTAATAGATAAAATGTGTTTTCTTTCAGATTAAACATCCCACTGCCCTAGGATTAGAAGTTGGCCAAGAAATTCAGGTACCTGTGTTAACCTTTCTGTTGAAAATTGTACTGGAAGTTTCAATTATTGTTTTCAGAGAGTAAGCTGGAAGGATAGAATCAATATTTATGGTATGCATTATTTATTTACACCATTGTTTTTTAACCTTAGGGTTGCTTAAGATTGTCTAACCAGAATCATTAAAGATTTAAGACACAATTCTTTCCCTCAAGGATCCTCCTACATTTTAGCTAAAGTAGTAGCCATCTTTAGAGCTTTTAGAAAATACTGGGTTGTCAGAAAAATCATGATACATTTTTGCATAGAAAAAAATATGTCATGACTTTTCTGACAACCCAATACATGAGCAGGTTAGTGTTGGCTATGCAGACTCAGTAATTTGGAATAAACACGAGAGCTCTGATCATTGTAACTTTGTTGAAAGCCTGGAATATCATCTTTGAGGAATTGAGACTTTAATCTTTTTTTTTTTTAATAGACCATAGATTAGTTTATTTGAATCATCCATCATGCCATGAGTTCATAGGGAATAGGTTCTAGTAGTTCAGGCTCCTTTCCATTAGTTCTCACAAGTGTGCTTCTCTGGGTGGAGCAGGCTGGCGCTTTAGTTGAACCCAGGTACCTTTCTCCTTGGCTTCCTTCTTTTTCTGGTCGTTTTCTTTCACATGTTTTAGAAAGCTATCTCTGTTCTTAGAATGCTTAATATGCTCAATATGCACATTAATTCTCTTGGCAAGAATCTTGCCCTTGTTTACAACAGTGCCAACAGCATGCTGGGTAATGTAGACTCTTCAAGTTTTGCCATGGTAACATTTGTGGGGCATTCCTTTTCGAACAGTACCCATTCCCTTAATGTCTGCAATATCACCTTTCTTATAGATTCGCATATATGTTGCCAAAGGAACCACTCCATGTTTTCTAAAAGGCCTAGATAACATATATTGGGTGCCTCTTCTCTTTCCCTCTGTGTTCATCATTTTGGTTTATTACCAGATGATGGCGGTTCTGGCCAAAATGACAAGACTTTAATCATTTCTCTACTATCTAAGCTTAAAAGTTTTTGAGCTTGATAAGCTCAAAATGTTGTTCAGGCCTAGATTTCTAATAACAGATTCGACTGTTTTTATAGCCCTTTATGAGTGGATGAAAGAAGTCATTGCTTGTCTGGTGTTTTTGACCATACTACATTCTATTCCAGTAATACCTAATACCTATGACCTAAGTGACTAATGCTTGGAATTGATTTCCAGGCTGTAGTCCCATTGTTCAGGTAGCCTCGAGGGAAAGCTAAGAACTAATATCTCTGAATTAGGTCATTTTTTTTTACATCAGGAGACACTTTAAACTTGCCACATTTTCCCAACTTTTCACTTTCCAGGGGGGAAGCCAAGTAAAGTCTACTGTGATGGTCCTTTGAGCAAGTAGTGAAAATCTAAGTGACCTAAGCTTAATCCTGTATTCTTTATAACACAGGCTCAGAAAGTCCTTGTCTAAAATCATTCACTGTGGCCTTGGCTTTTCTTCCAATGTGGGAATTTGGCCCGGAGAAAACAAAAAGACAAGAGGAGTATAACAGAATATTGTAATTGGACAGCTGAGTTCCCATTTTTTTAAAAAAAACTAGCCAGACTATATTTATTAAACATATACCTCTACTTAACATTGAGCTATGCTTTCAGTGAACAAGTACCAAACAACATTAATGATTCTCTTTTTTGAATCATGTAAATTTAACTATCTTTTAATTTGGATGTTGAGCAATGTGCTGTAACTTTAAAAGTGTATGTTTCTTTAACATAGGTGAAATACTTTGGTCGTGATCCTGCTGATGGAAGAATGAGGCTTTCTCGTAAAGTTCTTCAGTCTCCAGCTACTACTGTTGTCAGAACTCTTAATGATAGAAGCAGTATTGTACTGGGAGAACCTGTCTCACAGTCATCATCTAATTCTTCTCGGTGATTTTTTGTTATTTTGTTTTGTTTCGTTTGAGAATTCTAGGGTGGTATTCTGTTGAGCAAAATTTTAGTAGTATCTTTTAGTGTGTAGACTTATATGTACTCTAATATATTCTAATTATTTTTATTAAAATGCTCATTTACGTGTGCCATTTTTTAATTTTAAGGGTAACCTATATTTGCATATAATTTACATCATAAATCCAGAAATATTTATTATTAAAAATAAGCCATTTACACATTTAGAAAAGATTACCCTTTGTTCGTGTAATTCTGCAGTATCTGAAAAGCTTAGAAATAGTCTATCATGTACACTGTTATAATAGCTCTTTCTACATACTGTGTTTTTCTTGTTTATATATAATAGTGATTGTTTGCCCTTAGTCATCTTATGGCTCACCTCTGACAAACAACTCTACTTGCCTTTAACTATTCACAAACTAGAACTAGCCATTTTCAAAAACATTTCCTCTCCAGGGCAATTGGCAGTATCCGTAAGGAGTTGAGGGAAGTAATTTGATCCATTTTTAATATCATGACTTTCAAATTGGTCACAAAACTGTAAACATAGTAGAACAGACATAAATGGAATTACATTTAGAATGAGGTAGTACATTTTTAAAATTTAGCTAAATATAGAAAAAATCATTAATTGATCAAATAGAACTAGGACATTTTTTAAATGTGTATGTGGATATTCACGGTATAAGAGTTGGAGCAATTATGATTTTCAGTTAATAAATACATATTTGAGGGGCCAGCAGGTGGCATGGTGATTAAGGGCACTGGACTCCCACATGGCCAACTGCAGTTTAAGTTCTGGACTTGGTGGCTTACTTTCTCATTTTTTCCCTCTCTCTCACTGTCCTTCTCTGGTCAAATTTAAATAAATAAATAAGAATAAATAAAGTTACATAAAATAATTCTTTTAAAAAATAGATAAGTAGGGACCAGCAGTAAGCATAATGGCTATATCGCTAAACTCCCAAGTAGTCGACTGTAGTTCGAGTCCCAGGCCCGATGACTTAAAAATCATACTGGGCACATGTGCGTGCGTGCCCAGGATTCCGAGAGGAGAATGGAGGAGAAGGGACTGTGGTGTGGTCATCCCCTGGGGGGTGATTTCTCACTTTCTGTCTCTCTGTCTCTGTCTTTCTGGCACACGCCCTATAGCAAAAATCTCACCAAAATAATTTTTTTTAAAAATAGATAAGTAAATATATATTTGAAATAGTCATTTATAGAGATTAATGATAAAATTATTAGTCATATCAGTGAAATCGTTCATTTCTGTCACTTAAAACACAATTTTACAAAAATGTAAATTGTACATTGAAGTCATATTTTAAGATGTAAACCTATAAGTCTAATAAAAATATATATAAATTCATGACACAGGGCTAACTAGTTTATAAAATATAAAAAATTCAGCTGGCCAGTTAGCGTAATGGCTATGTCGCTGGACTCCCATGTAGTTGACCGCGGTTTGAGTCCTGGACCCAGCGACTTAAACTCATACCGGGCACGTGTGTGTGCGTGCCCAAGATCCCTAGTGGAGAATGGAGGAGAAGGGATTGCAGCGTGGCCATCCCCCCTGGGGGGGGGTGATTTCTTGCTTTCTATGTCTCTCTGTCTTTCTGGTGAGCGCATGTGCCCTATATCAAAAACCTCTAAAATAAATTAATTAATTAATTTAATTAAATTTTTAAAAAGAAAAAAAATTCAGCTGGCCAAGCCAAAGATTTTTTTTTGAGAGGTTTTCGCTATAGGGCGCATGTGCTCGCCAGAAAGAGAGAGACAGAGAGAGATAGAAAGTGAGAAATCACCCCCTAGGGGGGATGGCCACGCCGCAATCCCTTCTCCTCCATTCTCCTCTCGGGATCTTGGGCACGCATGCGCACGCACCCGGCATGAGTAAGTCGCCAGGTCCGGGACTCAAACCGCGGTCAACTACATGGGAGTTCAGCGACATAGCCATTATGCTAACTGCTGGTCCCCAAACCAAAGATTTTAAAGATACATGTATTTAAGTCAATAAATATTGACTATATATTTATTGTATATAAAGTAGCATGTTAGACAATATTGATTTACTTTTTATATAGTAAAGGTTAATTGCAAATGAAAGATTAAATTTAAATTGTTTGCTTTCTACATTTGATAAGACTGTTACTTAATAATAGTGACAAAATTTTCATTCTCACTTTTGTTTTCTGTGTAAGACATAATTCCTAGTTTAAACAGGGGTCCCCAAGCTCTGGGTGGCCCAGCAGGTGAGCAGCAGGAAAGCCAACAACACTTCATATGTGTTTTCAGCTGCTCCCCATCGCTCACATTACCACCTGAGCTCTGCCTCCTGTCAGATCAGCGGTGGCATTAGATTCTCGTAGGAGACCCCAGATGGGACCATCTAGTGGCAGGAAAACAAGCTCAGGGCTCCTGTTGATTCTGCATTATGGTGAGTTGTATAATTATTTCATTATATATTACAATGTAATAATAGAAATAAGATGCACAATAAATTTAATGTACTTGGATCATCCCAAAACCATCCCCACCCTTGCCCTACTCAAGCTCTCCCTACCCCTATCTGTGCACCAAGAAACAAGTCCCTGGTGCCGAAATGTTTGGAGACTACTGGTTTAAGGCATAGTTTTTAATAGTAATCTCAAAGTTTCAGCTAAGTTTTCCATTTTCTTTTTCAAAGGGACTCCTACCTTTTAGTAATCTGGAAAAATGCAGGCCAGTTCTCTAGAGACCTGTATTGCCACAGGGTAAAATTATAGCCCACGAACCACAAAACACCAGAAGGATCCATTTCCACTTAAAACAAGAGCCTACACTTTTGTCTGAACTTTTTACATTTCCATCTTCATTCACATCTTTGTAGTTGTCCTTACTTTCTGGTGAAGTTTTTCTGTGAGGGCTATTATGTTAAAATTTTTAATTTATAGTTATTTAAATCAAACTGAGTGTCTATCTTTGGTAGTTAGCTCAATACAATACTTATCGGACTTTTTCCTTTATGACATTTATTTTATATACACACACATCCTCCATAAGTTACTGTTCTTGGGAAAGGACAGGCAGGTAGATTCCACATGGCCGACTGCAGTTCAAGTCCCAGACTTGGCAGCCTGCTTTCTCCCTTTCCCTTTCTCTCTCTTTCTGTCACTTCTAGTCAGATTAAAAAATATTAACAAATGGAATTAAATAAACAAATAAATCATTCTTTTTTGGTGTGAAAAATAAGTTACTGTTCTGTTATAGTTTCTTTATAGTCTTTTTAATTTTGCTGTAGGCTTGTGCACTCGCCAGAAACACAGAGTGAGAAATCACCAACCAGGAGGATGGCCATGCCACAATCCCTTCTCCATTCTCCTCTCAGTATTTTGGGCACACAGCTTGTTTTTTAAGGCACCAGGTATAGGACTCTTAACTATTCAGTTGCCACCTTAACCACCACACCAACTGCTGGCACACATCTTTTTTTTTTTTTTTTTTTTTTTTTTGCTTTTATAGACAATATTTTAAGTTTCTGAATCTAAGATGGAAGTATGAATATCAGCATCTTTCTTAGTTCAGTCAAGCATAACGGTTTTTTACTAACACTTAGTGAAGTGTCAAACGTATAATGTGGGTATGGCATGTATCAGTAAACAAAATATTGATAGCTAAAGTACTAATGTTCACATTCTAGTAGTTGATAGAAAGTGGTACATTTTTAAAAAGTAACTGGGTGGGCTGGCTGGTGACATTGTGGGTCAGAGTGCTGGACTTCCACATGGCCGACTGCAGTTCGAGTCCCAGACCTGGCAGCCTGCTTTCTGACTTTCGTTCTCTCTCTCTTGCTTTCTTGCTCTGTCCCTGTCTGGTCAAATTAAAATAAATAAGGTTAAATAAAGTAATTATTTAAAAACAAACAAAAAAAGGAACTGGGTAAGTGGATAGAGTGATAGAGAAAAGTTTTCTTTTTTTTTTATTCTCCCTGGGGGTACATGGATTCACCAGGGAGAGAGAGAAGGAAAGTGAGGAGAAAGTCTCCACCACTACCACCCTCTAACCCCCTGTGGGGAATGGTCACACCATAATCCCTTCACCTCCATTTCTCCTTTCAGGATTTTGAGCCACGTGCACAAGTGTCTGGTGTGTTTTTTAAGTTGCCAGGTCCAGGATTTGAATATATAGTCAACCATGTGGGACCCAACTACCTTAAACACCATGCCATCGGCTGGCCCCATTTTATATAAAATGATCCAGTACAGCTTCTTTGCATAGATAACAGTTGAACAGAGACCTGAATAACATGGAAGAAGGAGATAGGTATCTATCTGAGTGAGAGAATTGATAAAGGGACTAACTACTTCATTTTTTTTAAGGGAGATTTTCGTATAGGGCATGCACACTTGCCTGAGAGAGAGAGAGAAAGATTTTTGATGTATGGTATATACTTGCCAGTGAGAAACAGACAAAAAGTGAAAAATCACTGCCTGGGGGGATGGCCACAGCACAGTCCCTTCTCAGAATTTGGGGCACAGTGCACATGCACCTGGCATGAGTTTCAAGACTCTAGGTCCAGGACTTGAACCACGGTTGGCCATGTGGGGGTCCAGAAACAACTACATGCCATCTGCTGGTCCCCATTTAATTTTATAAAGCATAGTCTTTTTTTTTTTTTTTTTAATTTGGTATAGGGTGTATATGCTCACTGCAGAGAAACAGAGAAAGTGAGAAAGCACCTCCCTCCCTCCACCCAGAAGAGAGAAAGAAAGCGCTCCCCAGGGGAATGATCATACTGCTATCCCATCTCCTCCATTCTCCTCTCAGGATTTTGAGCAAGCACACACAAGTACCCTGCGTGTTTTTCAACTGCACAATCCTTAACCACCATGCCACCTGCCCAGTTTCACAGTCTTTTACTCCAACCATGTGTCTGTTCTTTTCTAGAATTAAAAAACAAAGTTTATTAAATAATATAAGAGGAGCTGGTTAGTACAAGGTGATATTTTCAAAGCATGAAATCAGGCAAGAACATGCTTGACTACTTGCAAGAAAAGGGTAGACACTGCATTCACAGACTTTTATAAAATTCCAGGTTCATGAAAGTTGAGATTAGGGTGGTAGACAGTGGAAAAAGGAGAGTATGCTTTAGACTCCTTGGGTGGTTAAGGTGCTGAACTCCCAATGGTTATCTGTGCCTCAAGCACTGGACCTGGCGGCTTGCTTTCTCACTTTCTCTTTGTGTGTCTGTCTGTCTGTCTCTGGTGAGTTCACAAACCCTGGAGCAAACTAAAAAATAATGATGATGATAAATAAAGTGAAATAATGAAGGGACAAAAACCAACCTGAGTTACTAAAGTGAAGGAAAGATTTATAGGGGCCCTGAATTGATTTGAGAGAAGCCAAGTCATACACCCTGTGGTAGTCAAAAACCAGGATTTATAAGTCATTAAGAATAAGGCGATTCTCAGGGACCAGCAGTTAGCGTAATGGCTATGTCGCTGGACTCCCACAGAGTCGACTGCGGTTCAAGTCCCAGACCCGGTGGCTTAAACTCACGCCGGGCGTGTGTGCATGTGTGCCCAAGATCCTGCCTAGAGAAAGGAGGAGAAGGGATTGCAGCGTGGCCATCCCCCCTGGGGTGTGATTTCGCACTTTCTGTCTCTCTGTCTCTTTCTGTTTTTCTGGCGAGAGCACACGCGTCCTATAGCAAAAACCTCTCCAAAAAATAAAAAAGAATAAGGCAAGTCTTCTCTACTCTCCTGTGGCATCTCATGCCCTCTCTTTTGTGTATCATTCCACTTAAATGCTTTATTCATCTCTGCATATGTATTTTCTTAGCATGAGGCAAAAGATGGTTGTCCAACAGGACAATACCTGTCCCTGAGGTTGAGTTCTCATGGTGGAGAAAATGTTAGGTTCAGCATGGGATAGGTTTTAAACTGTACTAGCATTGCCAGATAAAATATAGCAATATGCCAACTTAATTGGAAGTTCAGGTAAGTGTTCAGTGTAGGTAGGTTCCATATAATATTTGACATATACTCACAAATAAAAAATTATTTATTGTTTTTCTAAAGTCAAGTTTAAACTGAACTGACACATTTCTAAATGATGTTAAGACAAATGGCTCTCTGTTTGGAGGAAAAATTTAAATTAGCATCCTATTTTTATATGTGTGTGTATTCACGCATATATAAAAATTTCAGGTGGACCAACCCAATTGTCCACAGACAGATGAATGGATTGAAAAAGTGTGGCACATATACACTATAGTATACTACTAAGCCATAAAAATCAAGACCCTGGCATTTAAAAAAATATTATTTTATTTAACTTCATTGAGAGAGAGAAAGTGAGAAAGCAAGCTGCTAAGTCTCGGACTCAAACTACCTTCATCCATGTGGGAGTCCAGCACCCATAGCCACCATGCCACCTGCCAGCACCAAGACTCTAGTATTTGATAGAAAGTAGACAAATATGAAAGATTTACTGCTGGGTGAAGCAAACCAGACTATGACAGAGAGACACTGTATGCCCCCACTTAATATGTACCAAATGTCCGCACTCTATGTATGGCAGAAGCTGAAAGACTGGTGGAAACAGAAACATGGAGAACGTTGCAGATACTGGAGACAGTGTGGAAGGAGGTTGGGAAGTAGAGGAAGGTGAAAGGAAAGGAATCAAGAGAAAAATAGACAAGACATTCAAGGAATGCAGAAATGGAGGATTGTCTGTTGATGATAACATGTATGATAATATCTTTAACTGGACTGGTGTGTAGTGTATTTATGCTGGGAAAATTTTTTGTTGAGAGAGATTTTTGCTACAGGGCACATGTGGTCACCAGAGAGACAGAGAGAGACAGAGATACAGAAGCGGGCACATACACACGCACATGTGCTCAGCGTTGACGTGAGTTTTAAGCCACTGAGTCTGGGACCAAAACTGCAGTCAGCTATGTGAGAGTCCAGCAATGTAACCATTACACCATCTGCTGGTCCCTGGGAAAATTAATTTTACAAGCTGTGGTGATGTACAATGATTGCACGTATAAGATAATTTTTTTTAATGAAGTGGATTAAAGAATTAAACATTAAGAAGCATAAAAGCAGGACCAGCCAGTGACATATCAGTGAAGGCAACTGGATCCACACGGCCAACTGTGCAGTTCAAGCCCAGACCTGGCAGCTTAAAAAAAAAAAAAAAATTACTGTAGGTTATGCATGCTTGCCAGGGAGAGAAAGTGAGAAAGTACTCTCTGGGGAGATGGTCATGCTGTAATCCCTTCTCTATTCTCCTCTGGGATTTTCTTTTCTTTTTTTTTTTTTTTTTTTGTTATTGGGTGGTGTGCGCTCGCAGACAGGAATGCGTGCGCTCACCAGACAGAAAGAGCAGACAGAGACAGAGAGACAGAAAGCGAGAAATCACCCCCAGGGGGGATGGCCACGCCACAATCCCTTCTCCTCTGGGGATCTTGGGCACGCACGCACATGCGCCCGGTGTGAGTTTTAAGCCACTGGGTCCAGGACGCGAACCGCAGTCGACTACGTGGGAATCCAGCAACACAGCCATTATGCTAACTGCTGGTCCCTCCTCTGGGAATTTTGAGCATGCATTTTTTTATCATAAAAACATAAAAACAGAACACATAGAAAATTAGTACTCAAGTATGTTTCTTTCAGAGTGAAATAAAATTTTTATTGTATAGCGTTCAAAAAACAGACAGAATAGGAAGGCAGTAGTGAAGAGATTTCAACAGATGTTCGTTGTAGGAAAAGCAGATGAGAGAGCAGTAGTGCAGTGGTGCTTAATAAAGCAGAGGAAGTTACAGCTAGCATCAGAGAAGCAAACTAATTCTGCCTACAAAAGATCAGAAAGGATCTAGGCAGAAAATTTGAGGGCAAGGTGAAATTAGACGACAGCTACATGCCTTGGCCCACTCTCTTATTCCACATAACCAAATAATTAATAATTGCCATCTACCCCATACACACACTGTTGTCATACATGTCCCTGTAACACTGTCACCACCACCCTTGCAAGAATAAAACTTGTTTTCTGGAATGAGAGAGACTCTTGCTTTCAGGACACCAGAACAGTAGATAGAGGGAGATTGTGAATCAGGACTAAACATGGGAATTAAATGAAGTTCTGCATACCAAACAGTAGGACTTCCCTCTGCCTGCTTTCAAGAATGCTTTTACCCAGAAAACATGGGAGAGTTTCTGGACAACTATACTAACCAGATGGAGAAGCGGACAAGATTTCTAAAACCTGGTATTGGATAAAGACAACCTTTCTTAATCATCTAACATAAAGCTAAAACTGTGACAAGTCGAAAACTGATACTTGATCAAAGATGGGCAAAGAGCTATAATTGCAAAAAAAAAAACCGCCAGAAGTCTATAGCCTTGTTCTTAAGAATAAAAAGCCTAAACAGGGCCAAACCAATGAAGAATTTCATATGCCCTTCTCAAGTACTTTATCCTAGGGCCAGCAGATGGCATGGAAGTTAAGGCAGCTGGACCCCACATAGCAAACTGCACAATTTGAGTTCCAGACCTGGTGGCTTAAACACATTGGGCAAATGGACATGTGTGCCCAAAATCCCCAGAGAAGAAGGAATTGTGGCATGGCCATTCTCCCTAGGAGGTGATTTCTCACTTTTCCTCTCTCTTTCTTCTCTCTTTTTGTCCCTATCTCTGGCAAACACATACACCATATAGCAAAAAAAATTTTTTTCAGAGGTGGGTGTGTGACCTAAGTTAGTTGAAACATTGAAATTAATGTGAAAGATTCTCTTTTTGATTATAAGTGAAGAACTAAATAACCTTGAGTTATTTAGTGGCTCTTGGCCACCATTTTATAATACAAAAGGAGTAAGCTTTCATTTGGATCTTACAGCAGAAAGTAGAATTGAAAATCAGAAGGAAATCAAGTCCTTGCTAATATTGAGTCAATCAAATCATGTGTGAGTTCACCTTATGTCCATATTGTGCATTCATATAAGCCACTGCATTTTCTTATCATTTAAACCAACTTGAATTTTTTCAGGGAGAGGGGATACTTGTAATCGAAGAGGATTTGAATTAAGTCAAGGGAGTCTAGGAAGGCTCCTCCATGGAAATGATAATTTTGGTGACATTTGAAGGATAAAGCAGGAGTTATCAAGAGATGATTGGCAGGAAGAACCAGGCAAAGAGAATACATGTGCAGATACTATGACAAACAGAGGCATGAGAGTCTGAAAGAAGAATGTGTGAGTTCTAAGATGTAACTAGAAAGGTAGACAAAGGCCATAAGAGGGCCATAAATCATGAAAAGATTTTTAGTAACAGATGGGTGTTAGATACAAGAGACACACACACACAATATATATATACTATAATGCACAACATAGCCCCTCAAAACTAATTATCCAGCCCCAATGTCAGTATTGCTGACAGTAAGAAACTCTACTCTAGGAATTCAACTTACAAATAGTTGGCACACATCAAATAGCTTTTATACAATCACTTATTGTTTGAGGTTGCAAATCATTGGAAATTACACAAATATATATAAATAGGAGATACATCAACTAAATTAGGGCTCATTATACAACAGGATACTATATAGCTATTAAATAGAATGAATTACCGTTCTACCCTGTCCTGGAACCAGTGCCAAAATATGTTTATCATGCTTATATGTTTTATATGTTTATATGTTGGGTCATCAGAAAGGTCATGACATATTTTCTGTGTTTTTCTTTTCTTTTTTGAGAGAGAGAAAGATTTTTGCCATAAGGCACATGTACTCACTGGACAGACAGAGACAGAAAGTGAGAAATCATCCCTCTGGGGGAGATGGCCACTCCACAGTCCCTTCTCCTACGTTCTCTTGGGTTTTTGGGCACACACACACACACGTGCTCAGCGTGTTTCAAGCTGCCAGGTCTGGAACTCAAACAGCAGTCAACCATGTGGGAGTCCAATGCCTTAACCACTATGCCACATGCTAGCCCCGTTTTCTGTTTTTCTATGCAAAAACACAGCATGATTTTTCCAACCACCCAATATATTCATGTTTGTGTGTGTGTGTATACATGTATGAAGAACATTATGTACGGGAGACATCAAACTATTTACGGAAAAATGGAATTAAAGTATGAATTTAGTTTGCTATTAAAAATCTTTGAAATCTACATGTACTTTCTTCATAATATGCATTTTCTGTGAACTTTTGAAGATCTTTTAGTATAATATTCCATTATTTGTCTTTTTTTTTTTTTAAATAAAAAAGTGGTAGGAGAATTAAGCTTTACCTAGGCAGTTGATTATTAGCTGCCTTTTTCTTATCCTTAATCTCTCTCTATTTCCCCATGGCAACTTGCTTCCCAATTCACTCCATTCCCTTTTATGTCTTGATTAAAGAAATCTTTTTTTTCTTTTTGAGAGGTTTTTGCTTTAGGGCATGTGCACTTGCCAGAAAGACAGAGAGACATACAGAAAGTGAGAAATCACTCACCAGGGGGATGGCCACGCTGTAATCCCTTCACTTCCAGTCTCCTCTTGGGATCTTGGGCATGCACGCACACATGCCCGGCGTGAATTTAAGCCACTGGGTCTGGGACTTGAACCACAGTCAACTATAGGGAGTCCAGTGACATAGCCATTACGCCATCTGCTGGTCCCAAGAAATTTTTTTTAGTTATTTTTCTTAATTTTATTTATTCATTAATTTTATTTTACTTATTTTTTTAAAAATTTTTAAGTTATTTTATTTATTCATTCATTTATTTAATTTGACCAGAGAGAAACAGAGAGAGAGAAAGTGAGAAAGCAAGCTGCCAGGTCCAGGACTTGAACTGTGGTCAGCCATGTGGGAATGTCCAGTGCCTTAACCACCACATCACCTGCTGACCCAAAATAATGTTTTTAAAGGTGGTAGATGTGGTATTTTACACACACACACACACACACACACACACACACATGTATAGACATATAGACATATACATTGATATATATATTCATTTACTTATGCATAGAATATCTCTGGAGTGGAACTAGATACATACTCCGTGGACTCAGCACAAACTAAAAATGGGGGGCCTCCCTTTAAAAATTATTTCAAAATGGTGATGGCAGAGCGTTAAGCCAAGTGTGCAGCTGTTCAGGTCACACATCTGTGAACCTGGCCCTGCTCTGGCAACATACACAGGAAAATGGAATAGTGATGATTCCAAGAGGAAAACTGAGGGATAGGAGAGAGAGAGGATGAGACTTTTTCACTGCATACTTTTCTCTGCTTTTCAGTTTTATGCATGTAAAAAAAGGTATTATTTAAAACAAAGAGGCCAAGTGGTAGGGCAGTGGTAATGCAACTTGGCCCACATGGAAAGAGTCTTTGGTTCATGTCCTAAGTACACTGGGCATCCATGCATGAACATGCTTGTGATCTGGGTTAACAGACTGGGGGTGCATCAAAGTGTGAAGACCTTGGTAAGGGTGCCCATTTCTCTCTCATGGAAGAAATTAACTTCAGAAAGAAAGAAACAAGGGAGAATTCTGGGCTCACTTGAGTAGCAGTCTTTTGGAGTGGAACTTCAATGACTTCCTGAAGAAAAGAATCTCTGCTGGGAACAGCAGTTGGCGTAATGGCTATGTTGCTGGACTCCAATATAGTCGACCATTGTTCGAGTCCTGGACCAGGTGGCTTAAACTAACTCTGGGTGCGTGTGCGTGCATGCGTGCCCAAGATCCTGAGAGGAGAATGGAGGAGAAGGGATTGCGGCGTGACCATCCCCCTCTGGGGGGGTGATTTCTCACTTTCTATCTCTGTTTCTCTCTGTCTTTCTGGCGAGTGCATGCACCCTATAGCAAAAACCTCTCCAAAAAAAGAAGAAAAAAAAAATCTCTGCTGAGGAGAACTTGTGGGTTGTGGTGCACTACTGCACACAGACTTGAACAAGCACTGGGCCCTCTATCCAGAAGTCCACAGAATCAAGGGATGTGTTCACCTGGAACTCATTCTCCTTCTAAAATAACAACAACCAAAAAAACCATTTATTTACTTATGTATGTATTTGTTGTGATTTTCAGGCCTCCAGTGGGAGACTCAACCACATTCAGCCCTGTGGGAACTGGACACCTTAAACACCACACCACCTGATGGCTCCTCACCTTTTTTATTTTTTTAGGTCATGCACTGAGCACCTTGAATTTCCTTTTCTAAAGGTCAAATCTGCTTCCAGATTCTGCACAGTCCTCTTCCCAAGTTTTGTCCTGAGAAATGGCCAGAGGGTGACCATATTAAGGGCATTAGAAAAGGGTTGTGCAAAAAGGCTGGGGTATCCTCTCACATCAGGGTCAAAAGATGTCAGTGTGATCCTTCCAAGACAGAAATGTTTTCTCTGGACTCAAAATGCATTCTGTCCACATTGATCACAGCAATAACGGGGCTCAATTGTTACATAAAACAATTTTGTTCAAGTACTTTTTCTGAGGTCTTCTATCTATAGATTATAAAAGAAGAAACAAAAACTATGAACCCAGATTTTGAAATTAGAGATTTTTTTTTTTTTTTATCAGCCGTCTGCTTAACATAAAGTACCGTCCCATTCCGAGTTTTAGTGTTCTACTGAGGGATGCTCACACACAAGTAATGTAGTCAAAACATAAGCACGTTTTGACATGGCCCCTGAGAAGTAATGACTACAACTCCGGATGTGCAATGCTGAGTCAACTTGTGGGCCTCTCCAGGTTTTCAGTCTAATTAGTTGTAAATAAAGAACGAATACAGAGATTCTACCAAGAACGAACGGTGATCGAAATAAACAAGCTATTATGGCCCAATGCGTGACGCATTCATCTTGCGATGTGTGACAACGTGAATGCCCAGAGAATTCCTGCTTCGCTTATTCAGTGCACAAGACCTCTCGGTAAAATATCAGAACAATGCTCCTACACAGGTGTACCAGGAAGGTAGCCCTCCCGCACTTTCCCAAACTTATCGGCAGATTAATTTTCTGAGGTTGCAAACACAGTGAGAGCACTTAATTTTGAGGGATAGTATGCTTTTCAACGGGCGGTTGCTGAGATCCTAACGGTGGAACGCTTTGGCGGGAAATAGAAAATTGTCAACATTCAATAAATCGCCTCGAGAATTTAGTGTCTACAGAACATTATTTGGGCTGATGCTTAGTTCTAACATTCAATAACGGGTTTTAGGGGGTTTCAGTTCTGCAGAAAGGGCTCAGCGTTCCTTCGTCTTCCCTTTCATAGGCTAACCAAGGTAAATTTTCATTAAGAAGTCCGAGTACATTTACTTCCTCTTTGCTCCACGTCACACCTGTTTAAGGGTGAGTACTTCCCAGGTCTTGTCCTCAGAGCTGCGTCCCAGCGCTCATCACATGCCAGGTGCCAGCCTCAATCCGCACCAGCAGGAACGAGCAATTTGATTCTAGCCATCTCCCACAGAGAGGCACCTAGCGGAGGCGGGGAGCTCGCGAGAAAGGCCGGCCCAACCGAGATCCAGGGTCAGGAGGCGGGGCCGAGGGAGGAGGAAGTCTCGCCTCAGCGCATACGTCCTCGCGAGAGCGCTAGAATTCGGCCGGGGAAGCGCGTGCAGAAGAGGAGGTGCCCTACGTTGGACTCGTCGGCCGCCGTAGCCCCTGCTAGGCCAGCCCGGACCAGCCTACTGGAGGGGGG